ATTATTCGGTTGACTTTTTAAAAATTTTCTTTCGTAAAAACCTTCACCTGGCAATTACGAACATCTTAAAAAAAATTTGAGCAAAATCGGCCCAGCCGTTCTCAACTGATGCAATTTCGAATTTTTTGTCTCCATTTTTATATATATAGATGATTAATAATTAGCTCAAAAATATGCTTATATTTATAGGAGCATGTGTAGATACTAAGAATTTATTGCCACAAATCATAATGATAAATTATTAATTACTAATTAATGGTTGGAATATATTTTTATTTTGTGTGTGGACGTGCCTGAAAGTCGGTATGTAATATGTGTGCATATGTTTTATGAGGAACAAGGAACTTAATATATAAATATGTACTTGTTGGTTGTTTCTTAAGTTACCTACCCATTTGTGCTGGTATAAATTTTGCCCCTTCTATTAAAAACTAAAATGGTATCAACATATTTATTTTTTTTTTAAACGAGAAACAACCCTTTTTACTACAAATTATTAAGTAAATGATTTTTTTAAATAAAATATATTAATATAACTAGGTAAATAAATAGTATTTTGTACCTACGAGTAGTTTCTGAGTTATAAAAATGTACTAATAATATAATGAGATTCTAGTCCTGAAAAATGGTTTGACATAACTTTAAAATATACGTAAATTCGTAATATTTAATCTAGTATAGGTTAGGTATTTAATTAAACAGTTTTTAAAGGTATAATATAATATTATATTAAGAAATTATATTTATATTGATAGATTAGTATTAATTAGTAATTACCTACTATAATTTAGAAATCATCATAGCCCCTAAATCTTTTAAACCTATATTATCATGTACTTATCCTTAGTATTTAGTAGGTAGGTATATAATAATATAATTCAAAAACTAGGTACTCTTTCAAATTTGGGTTTGAATACATCGTTTTTAAAAAAAACTATCTATTTAAAAATGTATTTTAATATATATAAACCACAAGCACAGGCAAAGATCGCAAATATCGATGAAAATATTTTCATTTGTCACTTAAGTCAGTAGATAGGTATACTGAATAACTACGTCTAACTACGTCTAATAACTATGTCTATACTGTCTATACTGAGTACTGACCAGGGACCTACTTGTGTCTGTCTTGTGAATTTCTTTATATCCATGGGCCATGGGCCATGACGTATGTTTGGATTGTCGGCGACTATAGTTTAATATACAAATGTAAAAACTAAAAACCCAAACAACAATTATTGGGAATAGAGTAAGTAAATCGAAATCGATTTAATAATCAGAATTATTCAGTACTCTTGTGCGTAGTTGTGATATTCTGATAGGTACCTACGTGTAAACGGTTAACGCGAATAGGTACCCGAAACTATAGATACTACAGGTACTACCAGGGCCGCATTATACTAGGTGCAAATGGAGCATTTGCTCCAGGCGGCAAATTTTGAGGAGCGGCAAAATTTGCACTACCAGTCTAATAAATAGGTAATAAATTACAATATGTTAAAATATTTTTTTACTATGGATATTTTTAAAAATAATTTGTAAATTAAAATTGAAAATGATGCTAAATTATTTTTATTTCTCAATTTTGAATTCTACTTATAAATTATAATGGAATCAAATGTGAATAATTGTCGTTATAATAATTATTGTCATTCGTCGACTATCCTAATTCTTAAATTAACTCTTTGAGGGGCCGTGGTTAGTATGCTAACCACTTTTTTTTTTACCGTTCAGGTGCGGTGGTTACTATTTTAACCACTTTTAAAATTATTTTTAATATTTTTTTGATGATGGTCAGCATACCAATCACCTTATTATCATCTTATACATGCATCAAACAATATCACTGCCGCTGGTCTGATATAATTTCTCGCGTTTTTCATCATTTATTATCATTATTAATATTTTGATATACGTACTAAATGTTATGGTAAAGAGACATATTGCCCTCATGGGTCTTTTTTCTAAAGGAAATTTTCGCCCCTCAAAGAGTTAAGTATTGAAAATTGGATTCGAATATCGTATGATAGATAAGATAACACATACATTAGAACGGAACTCGCGTGTTGACGTTAAGTAACGTATTATACGATGTCTTATCGATTTCGATTACAATAATTCATAGAAGTAGCCTATCGGCTATTAAGCATTGATTAAATATTATATAATTGTATTTTTGATCGAATATCTACAATTTGGGTTTAATATCAAATCTCAATATCTGCAGTCGCTTTAGTTGTAGACGTGTAGTTTTTCATGCGCAGTTGACGAGTTCAAACCTTTAAAGTTTTAAACTAATATTTTATTAATGTGATTTGTCAGTCAGTTGTATAGTTACGAAGTAGTACTAGTAATAATGAAAAGAATAAGACTGAGTGGTTCGAAATATCAAAAAATAGCATTAGAAAAAAAGTTGAAAGAAGAAAAAGTTATTGCAAAAACGGCAAAATTAGATAGTTTTTTTAAAAAGGTAAATTTTTGAAATATTACATAAAATATGTCTTTGTATTACACTGTAACCGATAAGTAGGATTTTAGTAAGTACATAACTTGACGTTACGTAAAATCATGTTGGTATTTTATTTTATACAAATTATAAACCATCTTTGGTTGTTACGTTCGAATTTATTTAGAACATTTTTTTTAATATTCCATTGGATAGTAATGATATATTTTGTGATACAATTGAATATTTTTTGTTTAATTTTGGTTTTATTGAATTCAATTTTGTTGTTCGACGTCACAGTTTTATTCTTTGGTTTTAGGATTCATATTCAAGTGTTCAAAACGACGGAGTTGTAGAAAAACTCAACAATAACGAACTTAATTTCTAGTAGTCTATCTACTATTGATTCATTAGCTGAAACTAATAATTTTGATGAACAAAAAAACAATGAAATTCCGTCTCCTAACTTAGAACTTATTACCAGCTCTTCAAAAAATGTATCCGTATCAAAACAAAAATTTCATAAATATGAAATGTAAAATATTTTGATATAAATACTTAGATAATAAATAAATAAATACTTACATATTACTTCATGTTTTTTTATGGTTTTTTTGGTGGTGGTGGTGGAAGGGGAGGGGGTGGCTGGAGGAGCGGCAAAAAATGTTTGCTCCATGGCGGCATTGGGCCTTAATCCAGCCCTGGGTACTACGGAATAATATTATATTATAAACTTGGTATGGTTTTAGAAATTGTTATTGCAATGTGTTATACTATGACTTGTGAGTTGTGACTATAGTACATGGCTTTCGATCTTTGCCTGGGGGTGGTGGGAAATATTTTTTGGTAGACATAATAGGTACATTTATGTTTAGGTACCTACCTATATATTTAAACTATAATAAAACTAGTAAAATCTTTTAAACCTATATTATCATGTACTTATCCTTAGTATTTAGTAGGTAGGTATATAATAATATAATTCAAAAACTAGGTAATCTTTCAAATTTGGGTTTGAATACATCGTTTTTAAAAAAAACTATCTATTTAAAAATGTATTTTAATATATATAAACCACAAGCACAGGCAAAGATCGCAAATATCGATGAAAATATTTTCATTTGTCACTTAAGTCAGTAGATAGGTATACTGAATAACTACGTCTAACTACGTCTAATAACTATGTCTATACTGTCTATACTGAGTACTGACCAGGGACCTACTTGTGTCTGTCTTGTGAATTTCTTTATATCCATGGGCCATGGGCCATGACGTATGTTTGGATTGTCGGCGACTATAGTTTAATATACAAATGTAAAAACTAAAAACCCAAACAACAATTATTGGGAATAGAGTAAGTAAATCGAAATCGATTTAATAATCAGAATTATTCAGTACTCTTGTGCGTAGTTGTGATATTCTGATAGGTACCTACGTGTAAACGGTTAACGCGAATAGGTACCCGAAACTATAGATACTATAGGTACTACGGAATAATATTATATTATAAACTTGGTATGGTTTTAGAAATTGTTATTGCAATGTGTTATACTATGACTTGTGAGTTGTGACTATAGTACATGGCTTTCGATCTTTGCCTGGGGGTGGTGGGAAATATTTTTTGGTAGACATAATAGGTACATTTATGTTTAGGTACCTACCTATATATTTAAACTATAATAAAACTAGTCAGCGAGTGTTTATATAATATAGCAAAAATTAGTGTATCAAACTATTAAGTGTACCTATTAAGTATTAAGTTATTATTTATTGTAAAAATGAACAGTGTATTTATATAATATAAATAAAATAAAAAATATACATATCCTTAATCATACATTTTTGGAAAGTTCAAATCCTAAAAATAAAATGATCAAGAATTCTAATATTACTTTTGTAGTTTTGAATGTCATAAGTCATAACTCATAAGGTTCATATTATACATTTCAAGTATCTTAGTTGTTGTTACTTATAATCAGTGTCGGCCTGGTACCTAAAGGGCCCCGGATGCATTTCTTCAGAAGGGCCCCCAAAAATGTTTTTTCATAAAATTATTAAAAATGTACTTATAAGTAGGTAGTGTAAAATATTATAATTTTTTAAAGGTACGATATATAAAATTAACCATCCATTAAGTTAAGATTTAAGTTAGATTAATAATTTATTATTCTAAACAATTTTTTACATATTACATAATATAAATAATACCTTCCCACATTATACAACTTAATATTTTTTTTAATGTGATTCAAATTCAAAATTAATTGTGCATTTGGTTTTCTTTATATCAGTAATGTTTTTAGTTCACTAGATGAGTTAGCAATCGTATCAATCAACTCATCTGAGTCAATCAAAATATCCATTGAAGACATTAGCAATAATGGATTAAGATGTTCTTGGTGTAAAGAAGACCGAAGTTTAGTTTTGATTATTTTCAGCTTTGAAAATACTCTTTCACAGGTAGTCTGTGTTGATGGTAATAGCAACACAAATTTATATAATGTGAACAAATTACAAAATAAATTAGATTGACATGACAGCTCTTGGAGCAAAATCAATGCACACTGAAGACATTTAGTGCATTTGTCACATTTAATTTGTTCGGTGGGTTAACTTCAATATCTTCATCTTCATCAATATATATAATTTTAGAAGATTTAGATTTAATATCGTGAAAATCATTTTCAGATACATCTGGTATGAAATTACTATACTGACAAGCAAACTGTTTTAGCTCAATTGCAATGATCTCTTTGTCTAAATCTGCTAGTTTACATATTGTGTTCAACGAGTCTTTGGGAAATTGTTCAAGTTCATTAATAAAAGCAAATGTTCTAGGATCCAGCCAATTTAAATCTTTTAATAACATTTCATTAGGTACAAATCGTGATTTTATGCTATTAAGAATAGTATCTATAATAGAATAAGAATTTGACTTAAATGTTGTGTAAGGTGTTATAATTCTAACTTCATCTGAACACTTTTCTCCAGATAAAGTTTTTTTTTTTTGGAATACGCTTAATAGGAAAATCTTCTTGAATATCTATGAGGTCTTCTTCATCAAAAAATATTTATATTTCTGAGTACGATCGGGGGCGGGGGCCCCTGAACACAAATACGGCCGAGGGCCTCGGACGCGTTTGCGGCCTAGCGGCCATGGCCAGGCCGACACTGCTTATAATATAAAATCTAAATTTCTATTTTTGATACTGGCAAATCGATTAATTACATTTTAAATTGATAACTCAAAATCACGATGCACATTGCACATGCAAATAACTCAAACCAAACAAGTTTCCCTTGTCTTATACTAAAGTATAGCAGTGGAGCAAATTTAGTAGCCAATTTTTGTACTTTTTGCCCTTTTTCCACCCCCCCCCCCTAAAAAAAAAGCTTGAATCCGCCACAGTAGTATAGTATCTATAGACTATAGCTTACTCTTTAGTCTAAAACCTTTAAATCATACAAATATACAACTATAATAATATATTGTAGTAAAAGAAACCAGTTATATATATTTTAAAACATCAGACATACCGTCAATACTTGATTTAAATAAAAAAATACATTTGAAAATTGAAATACATATTATTGTTCAGGACTCCCCCAGAAAAATGTTGAAAATCCGCCACTGGGTTGATGGCTAGATATACTCGATTTATGGACACCCCTTTTTTTAGATTCTGGGGGTCTATTTTTGAATTTCATATTAGCATGCCAGTATTTAAGAACATTAAAGTTATTTATGTTAAAAACGTACCTATATACAATCTGAATTCTGATTACTCTAAATTCTCTAAATTCTGATTACAATAGTCGACTACACTTCGATTAGGCTTAACCCACTGATTTTACCGGCCGAATTCCGCGGTTTAACAGGAGATCATCTTATGTAATACGGGCCCTTAGATATCTATAGGTACCAAATAATTACCTATTAATAATATATTTATATATACATACATACAATTTTACCCTGAACAAATTTAATTTTCATTTGGTTCAAAACTGTTGCTGCTAACAGTCAAGCCAAAAGATAAAAGTTATATACGTCTTTGATATTTTAAAACTTTATTTTAACTAATTTAAAATATGGAAAAAATAATTTCAACACTATAAGGATTAAGAGGCCAAGGAAATACGTTCAAAGATGAAGATGGATTTGTTTATTGGAAGAAATTGGACTGTAAATCGCATATGACTGTCAGATGTTCATGGTGGAAGACCGGGTAAATACCTATGTTTTAACTTAATGAAATTAAATCTTGATTATTTCTGATTTTTTAATTACTATTCTATTTGTATAACAGTATGGCATTCATTATAAAATGTAAACATTATGATTCCATTATAGGAAGTCGAACTATTTTGACTCTTTTTGAGATATTTATCGTCAAGACATTTTCGTTTTTTACATTTTTTTTTTAATAAATGTAAATTTAATGTTTTTTGATGGGTGTAAAATACTAAAGTGTAATACTATTATACAAGGTTCCTCGAGTTGTTATAATAGCAGTTAAAAATTATTAAAAATACTGCCACAGTTTTTTTTTTATACCATTAGTAATAAGTTCAAATTGTTTAGTAGTTAAAAGTTTATAAAATGCAACCCAAAAAATCTATTATAAACATAGTTTGTTTTATAGATATTTTAAGATATTTAAAAAAAGAATAACGATTTTAGTTATTTTAGTTATTATTAGTGGGTATTTGAAACTTAAGTATAATATTATATTTTATACACATTACATAGTGACATTTTCAAATGTAATTTTTTCGGAAAAAATAATTCAACCTACTTTATTACTAATGTATAATAGTAGATAACCTATAGGCTATAATACATTGTTAAAAGGAGCCTTAATAATTTGTTTTTGAAAAGAGAACACTTCTATTAGGGTGTATTGGACTTGAATTTTCAAAATTTTATTTCTAAACCTTATTCTACAATTTTCAATATGATCGATTTTCACAACATTTTTGTTTTTTTTTTTTTATTACTATTGTTTAAACGACGAAATTAAAATTCAATGTATAATGTGCTCTGTGGAAAACCATCTTCTTTCTAACAAAAACAAAATTAATGTAACTAGACCACTCTACGAGGCGTGAGACTTTTTCATATAAAAGGGTGTCTTGAACAAGAAACTAGGATTTTCATTTTAACATAAATTATTAAGGGCATAATATATGCATAATAGTTACAATGCTTAATTTTTAATTTCATTAAATTACAAATCCTCGATTTAAGTTCTTTTTAGTGTATAGAACTTTCAAGTTATAAATTTAAAAAATATATATATATTTTACTAATTACGACTGTTCGGGCGTAAAACCAGTTAAACGGCGTCTCCCTTATCTCGGTAAATGCATTGCTCCGTATGCAGGCCGTCCGGCGGTGTAAGTTCAGTTACCGCCCGACCAGTGCGCAGTACCGTGACCGTGATAATAAGTGTGGATACTACAAAGAAAACTTAGGTTTTTCTTTATTACCGTGTGCCTACACTGACCTACCGTTTACCAACCATCCATTGAACCACCCGACGTCCATACTGCAGTTCGTAACACCACTCCACCCATCCCGCGGGCCTCGGCCGTACTGTGCTGTCAGGTTCGAACATATATCATCTGTGTTGTATTAATTATTGGTTTACTTTACATAAGTTGTTATATTTTTCCTACTATTATATTATTGTGTTTTTTATAATTGTACATTAAGAGTCCAGTAATTTCCCCAGCTGGAAAGCAACAAGTGTGCCCTATTATATTATTATTTATTTGTTTTTCAATAGTAGACCGTTAACCGGTAATCATTTATATATACTTGATTTCATTATTATACACCTATTCAACGATTTAAAAATACAGTCCACTAAAGCCACTCCATAGCAAAATGACGAACAGCCTCATTTTCATGTAGTTCAGTAACAACGACCATGCTTTCAAATAATAATTATAGTAATAGTTGAAAATAAAACAAAACAAAACAGCCTTATTTCTGAAGTTTGTTAATTTTACAAAATCCTTTTCGTATAGCTATATTTTCTTGTTTTAGGTGCAAAGCAAAAGGTAAAATATCAAAAAATGATAAAACAAAACTTGTGTTAACTATTGGTCATGAAAATAATCATGTAGGAAACATATATTGTATCAAAATTCAGAAATATTTGTAACGAACGTTCCAAAAATGAACAAATTTCGCTTCGTATAATTTACAATGAGGTATTTATAATATTTAAAAATATATCTACATCATCTTCAAAATAAATATTAAATAATTTCGATGGTTAGAAGGTAAAAGGGCGTAAACGCCAATTTCCAAATTGTTCGAGAGAGCCGAAAAACAGATATTTTCATATGAACTATGTTACAACCTTAAAACATCGTATAACACTTCGATTTGAGACTTAATATGATTTATAATTAGTTTTTACGTTCCCAATTCAATTTATTTTTGAAAATTTTTCTTGTAGGTACCTACCTAATCAAACCTAAGATAATTATATTAATGAATAATATAATGCACTGAGTTTTGGTGTCGAAATCAGTTAAATAAAATAAGCGTTCTATTATTATAGTAGTTTTTTATTCTTTAGTTTTTATGTTTTATTTAAATTATAAATATAATGTATTGCAATTATTACTTATTTCTTTTTAAGTAAGAATAACAAATGTTAAAGCAATTTAAAACATGACAATAAACAAGCTCTGTTATATAAAAGTAATAATAATTAGAGAAATAATTACAAATTTAGTTCATGATTAGTAATAATAACAACTAACAAAAACAAGTTTTAACTTTAAACATAAACTCATAAATTACACACAAGAGTACTAGAAAGGCAACGACAACATTGAATACCGAAACTCCGTTTCCAATGAAAACAATGATTCTGATGTAAGTATATTATATATTTGAATTTAAATTGTAAAAATGGAACATGATATATTATATAAATATCTGCCCAGGTTTCTTTTAAATATAATGTTTGTAAAATTCAATCTTAATACTTAAACATTATGTTTACAGAAACTAGTTATATTCGAATGTCATGTTCCTTGAAAATTATGCAATCTTGTTATAAGTTAGAAATGTAAGATGTAACCAATTTATTTAACTTTAAAATGTGTAGCTGATTAATAGGTAACTATTGCAGGGGGTCTATTTTGTATTCCGTAAGAACGAACTAGAAACAATTAATTTTAACAAGTATAAAACAAGTACAATTAAATTGTGTGTCTAATAATTATATTTTATGATTTTAGTTTGTCGACAAGTATGGCTCCACGGATCGAATTTTTATTAACCGACAAAGTTCTCAACGATTATTTTAAATTGATAAAAAAAAAATCCGAGTGTTAATTCTTTTGACCCCTTTTTTTTATGTGGCGTATAAATACAACTCTTCAAAGCGAGTATAGATTTGTGGGTTAGACGGTGTCCATGATTTCATTGAATACATTTTTATACGTTTAAAGTTTCTTTTTTACTATAATCTGCTAAACTGGTGTCCACACGAAAGGATGGCACCACACTGCATTCTCGTTTGATAATTACATTTGGATCAATATTGGTAAGCGACATTTCATCCTTAAACCCAGTGGTTCTTTTAGATTGGAAATGGAGCAAAAAAATATATTTGCAAAACGATTTTGAATTAAAAATGGTAATGTTGAGTTTAGTGGAAGCGGTGTAGTAGAAGCGGCGATGGACCTTCAAGGCCCCGAATAAGCCAAAAAAAAAAAAATGTTGATTTTTCCAGATAGGATAGAATATGAGCAATACAATTTAGAGTCCAAGTTTCAGGGAAATATGAATGTTTGACACTCTTCATCATAAATTTGTTTTAATAAATCGTTATCAGAAACAGCTCTTTGTTTTAAAACTGTTTTGAAAACTTCCACGAATTCGAAATTATTATTTTCTCGTTCATGACTTGAATGAGGCTTCATCAATATAATTAATCCGTGCACCATTTTTTTCATAGTACCCACTTATAATAACTATTGAAGAACAAAAAAATGTACTAATTTAAAAACTAGGTTGGTGTCTATATTTTCTAATCATTTAAAAATGTTACCTTAGTGACATAATAATACACATATTCTTCTAGTCACCTATTACCTAATACTTAATAGTATTTGAAATACAGTAATCCCTCGTTATCCGCGTTTTTTTTATCCACGGTTTGGTTCACGATAACATATTATTAATGCAATTGCGATTGCGATAACGTTTTACCGTTATTACACGAACACTGTACAAATTTATTTTTGAAAATTTTAGATAATTGTTGTTATATCTCTATAGGTATAATACATATTATACATTATACATGTACTATAAAAGGTAGACAAAAGTTACCTGCACATGCACGATTAATAATCGTCAATTGCTCAGTTTTAATGTGATATTTGTGCGTGACACGTGTGCAGCAGTATTTAATAAATTTAGTGGTGAAAATATTTTTAAATGACTTCTCAATGTAAAATGTCAGTAAAAAGGAGAAGAAATGTTGTACCACTCGTTCAAAAAATTAAAATTTTGGACAAATTTAAAATTGGTGTTACTGTAGCGTCACTTGCTAGAACGTATAAAATGAAGGAGTCTAGTGTTCGAGAAATACGTAAAAATGAAGAAACAATACGACGCAGTGTTATGGAAAGTGCTCCTATTTCCAACAAAACGTGTTTTATAACTCATGATGTTATGGTGGAGAAAACTGAAAAAGCATTAAATATTTGGATTGAAGACCAGACCCACAAAAAAGTTCCTCTCAGTTCTATAATTATACGTGAAAAAGCTAAACAAATTCAACAGCATTTTACAAGTTCCTCGCAGAGAGAAGGCAAAAACTCGTCGTTTCTTGCAAGCAAAGGCTGGTTTGAAAAGTTCAAAAATCGTCGTAACCTTCACAACGTCAAGCTAGTCGGCGAGTCTGCCTCTGCAGATCATTTAGCAGCTAAGAATTTTCCGTTAGAGTTGAAAAATGTTATTTCACAGGGAGGGTACACTCTTGAACATGTATTCGATGCAGACGAAACCGGCCTTTTTTGGAAAAGAATGCCATCAAGAACTTTTTTTATCAAAAAATGAAAAAACAGCACTTGGATTTAAGGCTGATAAAGATAGACTAACCTTATTGCTTTGTGGCAATGCTTGTGGTTTCATGATAAAGTCAATGGTCGCTTATAAGTCTCTTAACCCAAGAGCCTTCAACGGTAAAGATATGAACTACTTGCCTGTGTTTTGGAGAGCAAACAATAAAGCTTGGGTCACAGCACAGATTTTTAGTGATTGGTTTAAGAAATGTTTTATTCTCAAGTTTAAAAGTACCTAAAATTAAAAAATCTCCCTTTTAAAGCTTTGCTGATTGACAATGCCCCGGGCCATCCTTCCTCATTAGAACTTCAGCATTTTAACATTAATGTCATGTTTTTGTCTCCAAATACCACCTCACTTCTTCAACCATTAGATCAAGGGGTTAACGCAGCTTTAAGGGCCTATTACGTAAGAAGAACTTTCCAACGTTTATAAAAAAACATGGAAGAAAATCCAGAACTTACTGTCACACAAGGATGGAAAAATGATAACATCGCTGAATGTCTTGTCAACATCAATGAATAACTTGACGAAGTTCAACCCTCCACTATAAATGCTTGTTGGCGAATGTTATGGCCGAGAGTTGTGTTTGTCGATAAAATTGACGATCTGAACTCCACTGTGAATCAAATCGTAGGAATTGCTCGGGACGTAGATGGTTTTAATGAGATAAATAGAGACGACATAGAAAAAATGATGAATAACTATGATCAGGAGCTTACATTGGAGGAGCTGGAAGAAATTACCGCAATCCAAAACGAACCAAATCAATCTAACCAGAATGACGAGGAAGAAGAGCACGTGAAGTTGGAATTTTCCTCAAAATAGATCAATGAGGTTTTTTCATTGGCAAACCAACTGACTGAACGAGTTCTTGAGACAGATCCACTCACTGAAAGAGCATTCAAATTCAAAAGAGGAATCCAAGAATTGTTGGTTCCATAGGAAGAAGTTCGCTAAGATTAAAGGATGCAAACATATATTCATAATTTTTTCCATCCTTCTTAATATGTTTTTATAGATAATAATAAATAATCAATATTGATGATAAATAAATTATATAGTTGTATGAATTAAAAAATTATCAATTGATTTTTAAAATTAAAAAAAATTAAACATACCCTCCTTTTTTACATTGATTTATGGTCTCGCTATCCGCGCAGGTTTGCTGTAACGTAACCTTCAAGGATAACGAGGGATTACTGTAATGATATTCTAATTTCTAATAAATTACAAGTGATTGTATATTAAACAAAATAAAATCTGATGATTTCAATAGTTTATGCATGCATAATGTTGTATTGTTGATTTAATACTTATGCTATAATTGACATTGAATAAAACATTATGAATGACAATTAAAACTTGTTCGATGGTTAACTTACCTACTAATGCAAAACGATTACCTGGTTAGAAAGTGAGTGTTAGTAGAGGATAATTTATCTTCTCATATTCAGCAAGAAATAATAATTGAATGTGAGTCAAATTAGTTTTGTTTGCCTCCCTAAAAATTTAACTCATCTCACCTTTGGATGTTGGATTCTTTCGACCACTCAAACAAGCTTGGTGTTGTACATTCGACAAATGGAAGAGTCAAAATACTAGAATCAAAGGAATTCCGAAAGCTTCTTTTCCAAATATTCTAAAAAATTGCTCTAGATATAGGTAATGGATAATTATGGGGAAAAAAGTAGTGTTTCTAAAAACTTGGTGTCTGCCTTAAGAGCCACGGTATTATTATTATCCATTATGTAGAGAACAAGGGTCATCAAAATACCAAATGATAATGGAGATAATAGTGAAGTTCTAAATGACACTTTCACTGATTATTTAATGTCTCAACGTTATGGTAATTCTGATGAGAATGCAAAAAAAGAAGGAAAAAACTGTATGTACCCTTGGCACCAGTATAACTACAGCTTTAATGTGCTTGGAAAATACACTAGATGATGATAGAAATGTCGAAGATACTGGTCAAGATATATTATCCACCGGTTCAGGTATCCGGAACTTGTGACCTTTTCCCACGATAAGTCCGTGGGGGTCCACCAGCGTTCCCCCTTCTCTCGCCGGTGTGTGACGGTTGACTCTTATCCAACGACAGATATTATTAAATATGACAGTGCTTTTTGGTCTCTCGTGACCGATATACGAGACGCCGCACAGTGGGCCAAATTACTATTTTAGGTGGACAAAACTCATTAAATTTCGTAAAGCAAAAACTGATAAATGTTTGAAAATAGTATATCTTAATAGTATACATGATAAGAATAGCAGCGTTCGATAGCAATAATTACAGGAAATTGGTCTGATATAGGTCATTAACCACTAGTCAGTAGTTACGTCTCGTCTATGCTTGCGTTCTTTCTATAAAATAGTAAATATAAAATAATTATACTGTACTATTCGTGACACCTATTATTTTTTTCAAAATGAATACCGTAAATGTACAAGGTAAGCAAAATGAATATACATTTCTTATATTTATAGTTCTGTATACCATGATTTAACATAAAATAAAAATAAATTATATGTATAGTTGTAAAATTAATATAGTATGGTCTCCCAAAATAAAAGGGGGGATTAGGGGAGGCTAATTTGTTTATAGACTTATACCTTTATGTACCTTAAAGAATATTAATTAATTTTCAACTGCCAAAAACCGCCAATATTATAGCAAAACGTTTTTTTTCTTTCAGAAATTACATTAAAAAATAACGATTTGTTCAACGTGTTACGAAATAATTGTAAAATTTTACAACCATCTTCCGGGGCGTCCAAAAAAATTATCTTTAATTTCGTAAAATCTAAAATACTGAACTGGGATACAATGTGTGAAGACTACGATAAGGTTCTGGAAAATAAAATATCTGGCTACTGTAATTCTTTAAATAAAAAATGGACATCATCAAAACGCACTTTAAATGTTTTTTAGAAAATATAATGAAAAATGGTTAAATTTGAATTTTAATATTGGTCTACCGCCACGTGAACTTCATTGTAACCTGTCAACTTCCGAAATGTCTTTACCTTCAACATCGACGGTCAATGTTGGAAGGCCAACTAAACCATTTATTCAAAGTTCCGATAAGACTAAAAGACGAAAAATAAAATCAATTTTAAATGAAAACTCGAAAGATAAAATTATTTTTGCAACCAAAACAATTTTATATTCTGATGGAAATCGCGCAGCAGCTGATCTGCTTAAACAAAGTACAGAATATTCTCCACAACGTGCCTTAAAAATCAAACACACTTATAATAATAGATTATCTGTAGTTAAACCTTATACAGCAGATGAAGCGTTGGCTTTGATAATTGACGCTAAATTAACAAAGTTTAGCTACTCAATGTTAAGAAAAGGGTCAAAGCAACGTAAGGCTGACATATATCCTTCTTATAATAAAATTAAAGAATCTAAAATTAAATGTTATCCCGATAACTCTAAGGTAAATGAATATGGGGCCAGTATACCTTTACAAAATTTAGTTAACCACACGGCCAAAAGATTATTAGAATCTCTTAATATAAGTGATCAAAATTTAAATGAATCAAAAAATTTACATTTACATTTTAAGTGGGGATGTGACGGCAGCTCGGGCCATTCTGAATATCACCAAAAGTTTATAGAAACCGAGGTTGAAAGTGGAATAGTTAGTATGAATGAAAAATGTGATGGCAATTTATTTTTATTTTCTTTAGTTCCTTTACAGCTTGAAGGATCTAAAAATAATAGTGATTTTATAAGCGTTTTATGGAAAAATCAAAAATCGTCATCTACCCGATACTGTCGGCCAATTAAGTTTTTATTTGAAAAAGAAACCGCTTTTAATACCAAAAGCGAAGTTAGCAAAATAAAAAAAGAAATAAATGAATTAAAACCTTTTGAAGGACCAAATTCCGTTAAAATACATTTTTTTTTCTATCTTACTATGGTTGATGGTAAAATAATTAACACTTTATGTAATTCATCAAGTCAAACCTGCAATATTTGTAAATGTTTTCCTAAAGACATGAACAACTTAGAGATAATATATAGCTTGAAATTCAATGGTGATAATTTACAATATGGACTATCCCCATTACATGCATGGATAAAATGTTTAGAATGCATGCTACACATAGCATATAAGAAAGGTATATTAGAGTCAAACAAAAGGGCAAGTGTCGAACAAAAAAATGAAATGGCTATTCAAAAAAAGAAAATACAAAATGGTCTATAGGGAAAATTAGGAATAAAAGTAGATAAAGTTGTGCAAGGCAAAGGTACATCTAATACTGGTAATATAGGAAGGCGTTTTTTTAAACATGCAAAAGAAGTTTCAGAGATAATTGGGTTAAATAAAATACTTATTGAACGTTTTAAAGTTATTTTAAGTATTTTGGCGTGTAGTTATAATGTGAACTCTGAAAAATACGATAATTATGCAAAAGATACTTTATAGTTATATTTGAAATTGTATCCCTGGTACCTATAGAATGCCTCCGAGCGTCCATAAGATTTTGGTAAATGGTTCAAGAGCCATACAGCTTGCTCTTTTTCCTATCGGGATTTTGTCCGAAGAAGCGCAAGAAGCACGAAACAAGGACTACATAAGATTTAGGCGACAAAACACTCGTAAAACCTCAAGAATAGACACCAATACTGATATCTTACATATGTTTTTAATTTCCTCTGACCCTCTCATTACTTCTAAAAGTACACAAAATATAAAGAAGAAAAATAATGCATTATGTTCTGAAGCAATGAATTTATTGAGTGATATTATAGAAACTCATACTACTAGAGATTTAGAATTAGATTCGAACGATAGTACTGAAGTTTCGGAGTTTGATTCAAGTGACTGTTCTATAGACATTGATAGTGATGAAAGTTGAAATTTTTTTATAAACATAGTTATATTATGTAAATATCTTCTTCTTTTTTTAAAATAAAGTACATAGAATTATTTTTTTTTTTAAATTAAGTCTATATAATTTATTATATTAATATTATTTACTTATTGCTTATATCATCATGAAAAATAAAAAAAATAAGAGTTAGATTAATTTTGTTGTATAGTTTTAAGTACTCATATATTACATACATGTTTGTTATTTAAATATTAAATGATATGTAATATGAATTTAATTATTTTACTTAATATACACCGAGACTCGGATAAACATAATTTAAGAAGGTATGGAAAATTATTTTGTCAATTTGAATCAAATAAATATATATATTTATTTTTATTTATTTTTCCCTCAATGAACAACATGTTTAAAGCAAGTGAAAAGTTAAAAAAAATTTTTTCCACCTAAAATAGTAATTTGGCCCACTGTGCGCCGTCGCCGTTGCTCTTGTTGCAGCAACATTGCTAATAGGCACATGTATTTTATAGTGTTATTTTGTGGGTGCTTGTGGCGCCGTTTAGCCAGTCGACTTGGCCTTTGTCGTCGACCGTTTTACTCGTCCATTGTCGACACTCGTGTGTTCTTGCGACGACGTTAGTGACAATATTGTCTTACTGCAGTGTGCGTTCATACGAATAGCATTTCGCGACGCGTCGGTCGTACGTGGATCATTATTCAGTTATTGTGCATTTAAATATTATTATATCTTTATATAAAAGAAGATGTTTTTATTGTTAATTACCTATTTTATTACGAAAATGTTAAAATCAAAAGTATGATATTGATTTTGTTTTATTAATATTTATTATATTGTTTTAATTGGTTAGCTACTGGCTACTTTTATTCTTTGCATATTACATAAAATAAGATGTTTTTATTGTATGTTACAATTTATCTTATATCAAAGATATGGTATTTGTATTGTTAATTACCTATTTTATAATCAACAATTTAAAACCAAAAGTGTGATATTAATAAACAAAGTGCTTATTTTATTTCACAAAAGAATTTTTATTGTTTATAATCTTATTTCAAAGATGTTATATTTGTATTGATTTCATCTTATATAAAATATAAAATGTTGTATAAAAAATAATAATTTATCTATATAATTGCTATATCAAAGTTACCCCACTCAACATTAGTTTTAAAATAAAACTCTTAGAAAAAAACGATGGGTATCTTTGATTAAGGTACCATATATTGAAATCGAAACACTCTTTCTGGTAGAAATTTTGTATACAGGATATATAAAAAAAAAAAAAAATAAACACCATTGTAAAACCAATAGCTCCGCTCAGAATCTAAAAGTTGAAAAAATTATCAAGGTAGCCCCATTTTACAACAGAATAATAACATAATGATGAATAATAATAATGTAAATAACATGATACCTAATATAAGTAATATATTTAAAGTACTTATGTGACACCATTTTTTTTTACCATTATTATCATAACTGTATCCATCGTGGTTCATTTTGAAAATAATATTAAGTGAATTTAGTCTTATTGTTTATTATAAAATTGACTTTGATTTTGATCATATTGTCATTCGTCACTCGCGATTAATAAACAATAATTATTATTGTTATGGTCATAATCGACCAAAGGCGACGACCGACGATCACAGACCTAACCAACTGTATCGATATAAATCTAAAAATAATTTATTTTCAACGAAAAATTCGACCGATGTTCTGTTCGCCGAAAGAAAATCGGTTCGTTCTGCGAATCGTCACCCATCCACAGTTGCGGTGGAAGGACGTGACTGCCGACTGGCGTCGCTAGCATCGGCATCGGTCGCCTATTCTCGTCGTGAATCTTGGAGGGGGAAATATAGTCTCGGCGAGGGAACAGCCGTCAGTCTACAATATTCTACATCCTAGACAAGTATACTAAAAGATAGGCATCTGCCGTGTTATTTTTCGGAACATTGAAACTAGCGCTCCTGACGTTTGATGTGTGTAACTGTGACGGCGGCGGCGGACAGAATTTACTCCCTCAAATTTTAAATTATTATTTTAAATTTAAATACATTGAATGCAATTACCTTTAATAGTTGTAGACCAGTTTTTTAGTGATGGTGGCTGCGGCCTGGATATTTTTTTAGAGACTGGGTCAATAAAAACCATTGTATTAAATATTTTGAGACAATCATTCCACAATACATGATGTGGAGAATTTGGCTTCACTCCAGTTCTAAAAAAATTGCCATTAACTTCCTTGTCACAGAGTCAACAATTTGATCAAACATTAGGCACAGAGCAGCTGTGTTTTTGGCTTTTTCATTCATAACCTGTTTCGCTGAAATACATAGGTATTAAAATATAGGTAAATCAACAATAATACTTACATGCTAAAAAATTCATTATTGAAGAAATCCTTTGACTGAACATGACATAAATTTGAACTCATAAATTTGACTGAACACCTGGGCTGCGTTTCTTACTTTCATTTTTGAATTTTTTTCTGGAATGACATGTTCACTATTAAGTCTAGGTAACATTTTTACATCTGAAATTGAACTATCTAACTCGTCCAGTGCAATAATATCTTTCCAGGAAGCTTCTTTTTGTGTACCATTTACATTAAAAATTAAATTCTTGGTCAATAAACTGTTTTTTATACCTTTAAGTAAATGGGGAGGGTCATATAAATGTATTAATTTTAATACACTAGTACTATTCTGTACTTCATAAAAACCATCCCTGTATTCCTCATTTCTGAGCAAATACTCCGCTTTGGTATTTTTTTTAAACTGTTAATAGCCGCTGTGTTTGTTGCTCCTTGGTCACAAATTGTTGCAACAATTTTTAGACCACAAGAGGCAACTGCACAAAGTACCCTTTTGATTTGATCAACTAAATCTTGGCTTTTCGTAGTACTCTTACAGAATATGTATGATATTGGTTGTTTTAATTTGTTTGTTACATCGTTAATAATAAAAACTAAACTGCTAAACTGTGGTCTGCAAGTTCTTGTGTTCTAGAGGTACTGTTATCTTCAAATCCCATAATATATCCAGCACTGTCATCATATTGTAAATTAGGTTCTAGACTGACTTCATCAAATAAGACCAAGCAATATTTTTGTTTGTCTTTAAGATTTGTTACACTATGTTGAAGAACTGTAATAAATGTATCATCGACACCACTACAAATTTGCTATTGTTGACAAAAAATTGATAATGCCTTTCTTCCAGGCAAAGTAAAAAGTTTTGATAGAATTCGATACGTTTTAGCACTTTCCTTGTATAATGACAAACTTAAAATTTTTTCTTCAAGGGTGAATTTATGCCCCTTTGATTTTGCCTGTGTTTTACTAAATTGTAATCTAGTGAATATAACAGCAGCGGTTGTCATGCGACCAGTAAGTTGGGAGTTAAAAATTTGCTCACTCACATTTGAAGAAATTGCTAAACGACTTTTAAAACTTTAACAAAGTTTTCTTGAATGACGCAGCTGTTTATTTAAGATGACACTTAGTGAGTAGAGGGATTTACATTTAGGTGTTAACTTATAAGCCCTCTTCACGCCAATTTTGCAAAATAAACCTAAACAATAAAATTCAAATTAAAAAAGGTGGGTAAGTGGATGTCGCTCTGCTGTACAGTAGGTTACAAGTGGGTCACTGTATAATGAATGCTATTAAATTTGAATTCAATGATACAATATCATTGTATAAGCAAAACGATTCTGAGCGAAGACGGTATGTCAGTCTAGGTTTAAGACAAATTATATACATATCTATGGTATTAAAACAAAAATTGACCTATAATAAATTCCAAATTAATCATATCACATTATCACAATATCCATTAGGTACTTTTAACACTTTATACATCAACATCAATAACAAACCCTGATACTATCATTGATATATAATAGTACACTTTAGAAGTTTCAAGTAGGTACCCACGAATAATATTATATAATCACAACAAAATAATTAGGTTTTTTAATATGTAATTTCGTCCAAATTTGAACATAAAATGACTATAAAAATAAACTGTGATTGTATATTTTTTAGATTTTTCGGTAAGAGAATTAACTACTTACGCGGAATCTTGTTTTAAATTTTCAATCCTTAGCTATAAAAACTGAACATTTTATAATTTATTAATTACGATGATTAATAATTTTCGAGATTTTGAAAAATTCTGTCAAAATTCGATGTTTAAATGCTTATAAAAAAGGTGGGCAAGTGGGTGTCGCTCTGCTGTACAGTAGGTTACAAGTGGGTCACTGTATAATGGATGATATTAAATTTGAATTCAACGATATAATATCATTGTATAAGAAAAACGATTCTGAGCGGAGACAGTA